TAAAAATCTGTCACAGTGGATAAAAGTGTCCAAGTTGCTTCACAAATTTCAATTGTTATTTCAGTTAACTTATTGTTAATTGATTGTCAGGACATTTAAAAATGAAGGTTGATGCCTGAAAACACCAATTTACCTTAACCGTTTCGATTTCAATTTTTTTTTATTCCGTTTTCAGACGGTTGATGGTTCTGATATAAAAACATTGAATGTGGCATGGATGAGACAACAAATGGGAATTGTTTCACAAGAACCTGTCTTGTTCAATATAAGCATCAAAGAAAATATCTTGTAAGTTTATATTTCTTTCTTAAAATTTGTTTCAAAGATTTGTTCATGTCTAATATTTAGTTGAGAGATTTAAGATTATTGGGCGGTTCTTCTAACATTTATAAAATAATTTGTAATAATTCCTAATAACGAATGGCTGGGAATTGTTTCACAAGAACCTGTCTTGTTCAATATAAGCATCAAAGAAAATATCTTGTAAGTTTATATTTCTTTCTTAAAATTTGTTTCAAAGATTTGTTCATGTCTAATATTTAGTTGAGAGATTTAAGATTATTGGGCGGTTCTTCTAACATTTATAAAATAATTTGTAATAATTCCTAATAACGAATGGCTGGCCGAAACAGATTTAGTTCAATTACATAAAAAACCTATGAAATATGGAATTTTTATGAAAAAATAAATCAAATTGTTTTTTCCAAATAACATCTCTAGGGATTTTGTGCTTTCCATATTCAGCTGCCTGAATTTTAATGCTGCAATGTTTATTTATTTTTTTACAAAAATTGTGAATTACTTCATTGAGATCAAGATCAACTGCATGTTGGTATGGTTTTATTAACATCTTGTGTTTAATAATTGCCTAGACTTGGTGACAAAACAAGACCATACACTGATGAAGAAGTATCCTCTGCTGCCGCTGGTGCAAATATTCATGAATTTATATCCGGTCTTCCTGAGGTTTGTAGTTTATCATTTTTTAGAAGATTGCAAGCAGGGAGTTGAGGATTTGATTGTATTTGTATCAAAAACCTCGTTTTGTCGATCTAATCGATACAAATACCAGTATACCGAAGTTTTTGCAGGTGATGCAATGATCATCAGTAATCCCAAGTAATTTCTCTTCTGATGAAGGTGTAATATCTGTACGTAACAACTTATTTTAAATGCTCAGGGTTACGATACGAAAGCAGGGGCAAAAGGTGGCCAACTGTCTGGTGGTCAGAAACAAAGAATTGCTATTGCAAGAGCTTTGTTGAGAAAACCAACTATATTATTATTGGATGAAGCAACATCTGCATTGGATACAGAAAGTGAAAAGGTATGTTAAACAATTCAGTATGATACATTTCTTTCTTTTAACATTTCTATCAAACTGGTTACCCTGACGTGTTGATTGACTCAACAGTTCCATACAATCTGAATATATATGCGTTGTAATACACGAGATGACATATTTTAAATGTAAGACGTCAGATTTCTAAATATACCTGTTTGCAGTTATTCTCAACTGATAATGTGTTGTTGTTATTAGTGCTGTGATGTAACTCACTGATATGGTTTGTAGTTTTGCGAATGATTGACTATATTATAAAACGTCTTGTTCAATATGTATTGTTTGTTATATTTTACAGATTGTACAAGAAGCATTAGACAAAGCAAGAGAAGGTCGTACAAGTATCATAATAGCACACAGATTGTCAACTGTTAAAAATGCAGATATTATCGCAGTTGTTGACAATGGTAAAATTGTTGAAACAGGAACACACGAAGAACTTATAAAGAAACGAGGCGCATACTACAGGTATGTATGCAATCCAGCAGCCTACTTCTACCACCTCAGTTATAAATTTTCATGTTTCATCCTAAAATGAACTGAACTTCACTTTTCACCAATGTATAATTCACCTTGTGTATAAATGTCAATATTTTTGCTAATTGAAATTAAAAATGTAATTTCGGGATGTTCTACCAAGTGTAACATCTGTGCCCTGAAGTTGCTTAGACTTCAATTCTATGTTCAAATATATATGTTTTATGTCACAATGCTCTCTATCTATCTATACATATCATTCTTAATAGCAATAAAGGTAGTTCATCCCAGCATTAAAGTTCATTTTTGATTAATTTCAGTTTGGTCAATGCTCAACTCACACATCAAGAATAAGCAGAAGAATCAGCATTTCCTGTTTTGTTCACAAAAGAAGTTTGAAGATTGCTGATGTACGCCCTTTGATATTATTTTTCTCAATTCTTTTCTCGTTCAGTGCTGATTTTTTGCACCAAAGGCTGATTTTCTTTTTATACCTTGTATTGTTGTTATAAAGTGGTTTATGAGATAGCCATCGTTTTGTGACGATACTTGGCTCTTATTTTATATATATATATTATTTTGTTCCTTTTTTTACAAATAAGGTAGTTGACATTAGTGTTACTAACAGATTAATTTCATTATATTTTAATTGGCTACTTCCTTTCTGATGATTTCTTTCTGAAAACGAGTTCATGCCTATCATGGTAAATTATAATGAAGCTGTGTATCCCTTATTACTACTGGAAGCTAACATTGGGTTATTATCAGTACAAGGTAAAGTAGGCTTTTAGCACATCATTGGTCATCATGATTGTTTGGACTGTTAGAACAGTGGTTCACAACCAAGAATGATTTATGTGGGTTTATGAACTCTTAGCTCGCATAAGACTACATCCTGCAAAGTTTCTTGACAGATCATATCTTTTACCACCCACCAAAGTAGAGGCAGGTCCTGTGTGTTGTTTGAGGATAAGTAAGTCTTGTTTCCAGTGAAGACCGGTGTCTGGGTCTAATCCAGTGTGTAGTTTAGGTATGAGAATAGTAGTGGCCTAGGCAAAGATCAACAGTTACATAAGTCATCCTGTGACAGCAAGAAATCCTGACCGACAATTATCTCTTACAAAATACTAATTTTGTGGGTAATCAGCTCCAGTATAGTGAGCTGTCCCTTAATGTTAAGTACACCGAGACTGTGCACATTATAACAACTGGTCTGCATGTCATAGAAACCAACATTCAAAGCCGTGTAGGTTGTTTAGGATTTTCATATTTATCAAAACCGACAAGCTGATCAATCGCATGGCGAAACATTGTCATCGTCTGGTTTCCAGTAGGGCTGGGCATTTTCGAATACCTGGTGGATTCTATCTTTTTCGTATCGTATCTCAAACACTTGAAATATTGGTAATTGTATGTGACTTTATTTGCAAGTCCTCCAGATTCATAAATTGGTGAAAACATAGAATCCATCACTCAGTGTTTACACACAATAATAAGCATGTTTCATCAATAAATCACTCGAAAGAACAAGAGTGATGGGTCAGTTTTCATTTCAAAATCATGGCTTTAACAAAAAATATGACAGATTTACCTCGATCTCAGGCAAACAAAACAAAGGCTATTTGAAATTTTCATCTGAACCGATTCAAACATTTCACTATTCGGTTTGAAAGGCCCAGCTCTAGTTACCAGTTCATATGGGAATAGTTGATCAGTTATATTTTTCAAATACATGGGCTTGAGTAAGCTGCAACTGAACGACGATTACATGTACCATCCTACGACAGGGTAATGGAAGGAGAGATTGCAAGCATATTCCCAACAGTTTGCACGTGCAGTGGTCATGACACTAAGCATGTCGCAACAGTTTAAGTTATAGCTCCTGGCCTGATAGTCTCAGATCTGAAGAGGCTAACAGACTCTGCACTGTAACTAATCATCATCCAACAAAACAAGGAAGAATGCAACCTTTAGGACAGTAATTTTTTTTTATTCCATTTCAGAAATATCAATCTGGTGCCAACAATCAAATAAGCATTAAAATTACACTTACATTAGGCAGAAATGTAATAGTTAAGTTTGAAAAAAGTGCTATATCCACCAAACTGTATACGTAGATTCGGGGTATCGTTATTTTAACTTTGGTCATAGTTCACAGCATATTTTGACTTTAACAAATGATTATTTTGTCTCATTTTCACAGAGAATATAATGTATCATTTATATGAATGATTAAAGTAATACGATTTTCACAAAAAACTAAACTGGCCTCACTCGATAATCTTATTTTTTCTCAACATATCTAGTTCAAGTAGGTAGTATTGTTTAAATAAATGTGAATGATAATTGAAAAAAGATGTTTATCATAAAAAGTATTTTGAACTTTCAATTAATGTTTAATCACTTTTTAATATAAATTATTAAAAATTTGCAATAAATGAATGCACATGAATATAAAATAAGCCTATCTACATAATTATCTATATTTCATGTAATTCTGAGTAAATAGTCCACAAGACAGTGAAGAAAATCATACAATCATTAATTTGAAGGGAACTTACCATAGTAAAATAGATTTCAATATCTGAGTAGAGAAGAACTTGAGGTTCTATGTTGTATATTTTCACAATTCTAGAATTAGTCTGAAATGTCATGATGTATATCAGGGCTCTGGTAGGTTGCGAAAGGGCTTAATGGGGGTGGCGGTAAAATCTTCTATGACACTTATGTCAGAACAAGATATCGATCAAATTTGAAAATAGTACTGAGACCCACGATCACCGGAATAGAGTCTGGATTCGATCTTTTGTGTGAAAATAAGCAAGTACATATGTCTGAAGGTATTGACAGTTTTATTATTTTTTTGTAATATTTTTATTGCTCCATTTTTATTTTAGTTCCTGGGGGTCGTGAAAAAATTTGGCTGTGCCAAGCGGGTCGCGATGAAAAAGTTTGATGAATACTGATGTATATAGGGTGCTTCGCAACATAGCACAATGCTCAAAATTGTATCGCATAATATTTTGCTAGAATATGCACGATTGTTATGCTTTTATTAAATTAACAATGTAAACTGACATTTCAGGTCAAGGGAAAGAGGTATAATGTTCATCTGCAAAGTAACAGATGCAAATTTCACTTTGAAACACACCGCTAGTTATGCATTAAGTGTTATTAGTTAGTGTTTGATTGAACCTAGCAACAAATTAGCTAAAATTTTCTATGGAATAGTAGTACAGTGGACATTTATACTAGGAACATGCTCGATTAATATTGTAAAATAAATCTATTGGTGGAAATCAGATGAGAGACATAAAATAGCGCTAGGTATAATAAGAATTCATAAGAATTAGCACAAACTGAAATTAACTTCATATATATTTAATTATACTAATGCATGGAGGGATAAGTACGTGTTGAAAACCAATTTAGATAAGCCAGACTACAATAAAGCATAATGTGTGAACATAAATTTTCACCTAACTTACAAACTAATATGGTACAAAGTATATGTTAAAAGAAATTGAGTAAACTGATTAAATGAATAGAGTTAAATACAGTACACTCAGTTAGTGCAAATAATTTGATTTGAAATGATCAAAAATTTCATAGACGTATAATAAAATGATTGAACTCTTTTCAATATAACACATTGCCTCTAAAATCAAATTAAGCAACTACGATTGTAAAAAAATAGGAAAACATGCTCTGTCTGTGAGCCAGATGATCCTTGACATGTGATGGATGAAAACGTCACATCAAAAGTGCATACGAATTCAAAAGTCTTTTCGACAGTGTATGACATCACAATGAATCATTCTTCCTCCTTGTGAGTCAACTGAGCATTTACAAGGCTGAAATAATAACAAAAAGATATTATATTTCAGAAAATCTAAATAACATGGTAATACAAGATTCTGAATCATAACATTGGATGACAAAAGTCTGGTTGAAATGACGAATAATTAAGAAAGATTCATTTAAAAAATCAGGCAATCGAAAATCAAAGCAATTTATTGACAGTGCGTCGCCTTATGGTTCGTAGAGTATAGTAATAACCCCAGACTCGATGTGAATGTTCCATTTTCAAGCAAATTCAATATCGAAGCGATTCAGATACGGACACTTTCATAGTATTAGCAAAATCATTATATATAAAGTATATGACGGCAGTTAATTCATACCACAATTTACTATATGATATCCAATACCTTGACAAATTAAGGTAATTTAGAATAGTGATTCTTAACTACAAGCCTATTTTAACAGTTGCTTAGACTTCATTGCCTCATGTCTTTCCTGCGCCTATTTAATCTTTACTGATCTGATTGACAAGTACTACAGAATATGTTGATACCTATAATAAGCTCCTCTTCGTTTGATCAAAGCTTCGTGTGTTCCAGTTTCCACGATTTGGCCATTGTCCACTACGGCTATTATATCTGCGTTCTTCACAGTGGACAATCGATGAGCCACTATGATACACGTTCTGCCTTCTCTTGCTTTGTCCAATGCATCTTGTACAATCTGTTAAGATTTAAAAGAAATTTGAGGACGATTATACAAGACTTGTTTGGCTTCAAGAAACTTGGCAGATATCTTAAAAATTGGTTGGTTCGAGTAGCGTGATTCTAACTACTTCTCCATTCGTTCTGCCTTTAGTGTTAGTTGATCTGCAATGCAGCACCAAGAATCATAACAGCTATACCACTTAATTCTAATATCATTGCCCAAAAGTATATCACTTACACTAAAAATTTTCAAGTTACACAATTTTCTAACATATACAATCGTAATATATCAACCTTATTTTACATGATCCTTATCATTTTGTTGAGTCATCTATCAACGCTATAGATGATAATGTTCTTGGTTTGTATTTGAAATGACTCTTTCTAAAACAAGTGTGCACACAAAAATAACCTTTTCACTTTCTGTATCCAATGCAGATGTTGCTTCATCCAGTAATAATATAGTTGGTTTTCTCAACAAAGCTCTCGCAATAGCAATTCGTTGTTTCTGACCACCGGACAATTGGCCACCTTTGGCTCCAACCTTCGTTTCATAACCCTGAATATAACAATCATGTAAATGTCATCAAGCAGAATAGGGTTAAGTTTCAGTAAATTACACATAAAAAGGTTGCCAGTGAAAAAAAATTACTAAAACAGATAAAAAAAATTAAATGGTTTTGCATTGTAAGACAGCACATCTAATGTCTTTTAGACAATGTCTGATGACCATAGTACAGATATTAAACGATTATACTTTTTCAAGAAGCCAGTTTAAAAAAGCATTTATGTTATAGGGTTTGAGATAGATATTATTTGATATTGAAGTTGATATTCAACTCAGGAAATAACATTTGAAACAATTCTTTAAAAATTGAAATTAAAAAATTGTTTTGGGTTGTCAACAAACCTCGGGCAAAGAAGTAATGAAGTCATGAATATTAGCATTAACTGCAGCTGTTTTCACTTCATCATCTGTATATGACCTCGTTCTATCCCCGAATCTGCAAGATAAATGAAATCAAGAATAAATTAAACATAATTTCTTTTGCCTGTTCACTACAAATTCACTGATGGCTGTTTAGTAGCGTATTTTTACATTCTAATTAGAAAGATGTCGCTAATAAGCAGAGTCTATAGAAAACTCAAAGAAACAGTGAAAGTTTGTAAACAAGCTAATAGCAAAGTGCAAATTTGTGTTTGATGAAAATTAACAATCAGAAACGGATAACATGTCAGCTCAAATGGCCGTTTCAGCTTTCAAAGGGTTGACTGAGATGTGCATAACTGGAATACAACTTACAATATATTTTCCTTGATAGTCATATCGAATAGAACTGGTTCTTGAGAAACAATCCCAATTTGTTGTCGAAGCCACGTTACTCTGAGATTTTTGACATCACATGCATCCTGCGTCTGAAATGGTAATACAATGAATAATTGATAGTCAATAACAAACTATTTACAAGATATTATGTAGAACTTTAGTTGACTCTAAAATGAGCTATGTTTTAACTATGTGAACATGGCAAGATGCACATCTCAAGTTCAAATACCATGCCACCAGACCACCACCTCACCCAGAGTGCAATAAAGTGAGTAGGCAATAGCGAACAGGGAAGATCTTAATCCTTCTAAAGAAAGTAGCTCCTTACATATCGTTAAATATAAATGATTGCTTGTACAGACCTTGTTCAGAGCGAAAGGTATGTGTGTCAGCATTGTATAAATAGGGAAAAAAAATTTCATAAAAATATATCATTAGATACACTAGATTTTTGTGAAAAATTTGAAAAAGATAAATTTTGAAGGACATAATACCAAACATCAATCAGATAAAAGCAATTTCACTTAAAACAAATAACTTCAATCGTCGTACAAACATGGAATCAAGCATTACAATAACAACATACTACTTCTCCTTCCACCGCATCATAAAATCTTTCAATAAGTTGAATACATGTAGATTTTCCACAACCTGATTGTCCAACTAGAGCAAGTGTACAACCAGATGGTACTTGGAAATCGCATCCTTTCAAAACCAATAAATCGGGTCTTGTAGGATATGTGAACTGAACACTCCTAAACTCAATATTTCCTTTGCAATTGTGCTATAAAACAAAAATTATCATAATTCTTAGCAGAAATATTTAGAATTAGTTTAAATTGAATTAGGCTGGAGTCTGGATACTGTGCCTAGCACCTCAGCAAGTTTGTAATGATTGTATATAAATTGCCAAATCCTGAAGATGCCAGTCATAAAATACAGGGTGACTTCCTGGCGCCAAAAAAACAGAACCATAAATTTCTTAATTATTTCTACAAAAATAAAGCGATTTTTTAATTTTGTCTACACTTGAATTTCTGTCTGTGACAGCTTTAGCAGAAATTTTAAAAATTTAGGGTATATTCATACACATGAAGTTCAAGCGTGAACAAAACTAAATAATTTTTTTTTACATATCATTTGCTGCTTGCACATTCAGACAAGGGTGTGAAATATTTTATTTGTTATCTCTAAAATCAAAACTTAAAATCAGTTTGCCATCAATTCAAACATTCGGTTCGTTTTATACATTCATGCTAAAGACTCAGTATCCATCTTACCGGTTCATGTCCATTCTCATCATAAATATCAATACTGGGAACACTGTCAAAAAGTTTGAACATTCTTTTCGCAGAAACCTTGCCTTCTGCATAATCAGGAGCAAATGAGCTGTTTTGACCAGCAGACATCGCTCCAAAGATAATCGCAAACAAAACCCTGCAAAATATAATTTACATAATAATTTTATTTAAGACGTCATGTTCTGCAATGATGATTTAGAACCAATTCATATTTGAGCAGTTCGATATGGTACTATTTCATTAGGCCTTTCAATTTGAACAATAAATTTATTGCATGAAACATGATACAAACCAGGGATGTAGGTTACCAGGCTTCTATTCTAAACACCATGCGTTAAGGTTGAAAAAAATTGCAGAATTTTTACTCCAGACGAGGATTTTGAAAATATGATACAGAATTGGACTCCTGCACCAACAAGAACATGCCAAACTCCTATTCTTAGACTCCGACATCACTGTTATGCTACGATGAGCACCTATATTTTTTTAAACGACAAAAGTAATTTATGTATAGCTAACGCTGTTCTTAAATAAGATACAATAATATGGCTTCTCACTAGTAATGAATTCATTTATTTCCGATCTTATTTAACACAATTTTGACAACGACAACAGCAAAGAAACTTTTTACTATCTGTATATGATTAATAATTATTTGAATAAAATATTCCGATAGGTTTTAAATTTAATTAAAACTGCCACATACCTGAACACATTCTCGAATTCCATTTCATTTTTCCCCACAAGAAAAACTCCATATCTCAGTATTCCGGCGTATCCAAAATAGAAAACGCATTGAGCGAATCCATACCCAAGACCAGTTATTAATGCTTTTTTATTAGCATTCCTGAAATAACAGAAGAAAAAAAAAATTGTTAAGCAAAGTTCAAGATACATATTAAATATAAATTAGAAAAACTGTTGAAACAAAACAATCAAATAGATTATTGAAATAGAATTATAAAAAAAATATGCGAGTAAAACTTAAGTGATATTTATCACTTAGAAAGTAGAAAGAAACAAGGAGAAAGGACCTGCAGTTCAATACACAATATCCAAGTTACCCTAAATTTTAAGTGATAAAGAGTTCTACATGGCAATAGTATTTCTATTGCACTTTCTGCTGTTGTACCAGCAACATATATGACATTTTTGATAAAATAAGACAAAATTTTAAATTTATTCAGAGAGAAAAGTGAGTAAGGGCTTAATAATGAAGCCTCTTGTCTTATTATCAGTATATGCCGAGTACAGGAATAAATATCCATTTGTATGTTTGTGACAAAGTTGTAGACCTAATTTCTACTCACCATTTTTTTCAAGATATTAGGTAGGCCTTATACAAGGCTTTCATAAATAATCGCATAAATAAACTGTAATGCTACCTGGCTGGTACTTTTAATCTTTGTTTGTACAAGAGACAAATAGTTTCTTCTTTTGTCAATGATGCGACAGTACGGATATTCTGTGTCGCTTCTGAAACTATTCTACCTGTGAAAAGAAAATATGAATCAAAAAAATATTACAATCTGTATAAAGCAGAATTTTCCCTTTCTCTGAAGAAGGCTATACGCAATGGCTAAACTTGAAACGACAAAATGCTTCATTGTTTGTAAGAGCATATTTTTATGTGATGTCGCAAATTGCAAACAAGTCAGGCAAGTATCATACCAGCATCCTCAAAAGCTTGTTTCTCTTTTTCGCCTTCACCAACAAGCAAAGACATTTCCAAAAATCCACCGACAATGACAAAAGGAATGAATGCCAGAGACACAAGTGTCAATTTCCAACCAAAAGCAAAGCCGATTCCAATAGAAACACCTAAAAAATGCCAATGCAAATTAATTCGATGAAATGGCAGAATCAAAAATATCAAATTAAGAATTTGGCAGAAGTTTTGTATAAAGTAAATAGTACCCATATCATCGACTCAAAATAGACTTATCTGTGTAGTTTATACTTATACTCAATGTTAGTAAATATTGAATCAATCGTAAATTTATATTGAAGGAATTCAAACTACAGCTTTATAAGATGTAAAGGTTTGATGATTATGAAATGAAATTACAATTTGATCAAAAAAAAAAACTGATGAGTCTTAGAAAAACATTAAATGCTTTTTACAAATATTCGTATTCATGGTGTATATGGTTAATTTGCGTGTTCATGAGCACTGTTCCATTTTCTCTGCCTATGAGTTAGTGGATATAAATGCACCGACTATAAGTATACTGTAGCAAGAATCAAAACGGCTATATTGGGTGGTCCAAATATCTTGCATCACACTTTCACTTTTCATTTTATTCTGTAATGTTTCGTCTGATCAAATTCAGACTTTCTTAAACCAGAGTTTCGAACCACCCAATATATTTATATTTAGGATTTTAATAAATGATGTATCTGGAATAAAACAACAATAATAATTTTCTCTACAACTAACCAAGTGCTGACAAATTTTTCAAGATGCTTCCTAATCTGATACCAGTACATCCTTGTACCCTTGATGCATCGGTAGCCAGTCTAGTAGCAAGAGCACCGGTACTATGCCTGTGATCATCAAAATAAGAAATATCTTGTCGTAGCATTGTTTTGAATGCTATTTTCCTAAGTCTCGTCGTCAACTCCATGCCAGATTTGGAAAACAATCCACCCTGAAGACATTATGAAGTTTTAATATAGTAATCACAAAATTTGAAAAAGGTATGGATTTGAATAGGTGATTTCACAAATTGTTGAAGCAGCCTATTGGTTAAGGCAGGTAAGTTTTTGGAATGGTCTCGTAATGGAAAGATGCCAGTCTTTTTGAACTATAGAAGCAGCAGCTGCTTATGCCTGGCCTTGTTTGGAGAAAGACGTATAAATACGACATATAAATATCTGAGCATGAGCACATTAGACACTAATTCATGTGTGTCTCCAACTGGAAAGATTCCAGTCCTTACGAACTATAGTAGCGCCGAGCAGCGACCGCTTATGCAGGGCCTTGTTTAAAGTGAAAGACATATAAATACGCCATATAAAAACTGAGCATACTAGAAATTCATTCATATGAAAGAAACCAGACAAAATAGACCAGGGCCGTACAACAGGCAGCCAACGGGCCATAACCTGGCTGTCATTCAGTGTGGCCCTTCTCGACACTCAGATCTTTTCCTATCAAGCAATAAATCTTAATCCGAAAGTTTATATTTAAAAAGGCACAGACAGGTAAACACTAATAATATTTTTTTGCTCTTGTTACTGCGTTAAATCTTTTGCTGTTTTGCTTGTTGGCCTTTATTACTGTAAAGCTATTGCAAGGAATTTTTAATTCGTTGTGTACATAAAAAAACAATTCTTTTTCATGTGACTCAGCTAGATGTAGGAAGTTGGTTATATGGCCCGCCAACAAAAAAAGGCGCACACGCCCAAGATTTCAAATCAAAATGACGAAACTTTAAAAAGCTGTTTTGAGAAAGTGAGGAAAATATATATATTTGATTTTTAACTATTCATTGAAATAATTCAGGTATATATCACACTAAACCATAATACCAGATAAAAAAGGCATTTTATTTTTTGTTCTTTATCTTGATAATACGTAAATACTAAAACATTTTGCAAAAATATTAAAATCAATCTATGTAATAAGAAAACTACCTCAGTTGTGTAGCTGAGCAGTGCTAGACCTCCAAGTCCTAGAAACATCATTGCATAAATCATAGCTTGATGTAATTGTTGTTCTTTACCTCCGATGGTGAATATGGTAAATACTTGCGGAAATATCAATGAAGTCAAAGCATCAATAGAGCCCGCAATGAATGCAAAGAAACATCCAACTGAAAAAGAAAAGCAAAACTAAATATAATTCAGAAAAAAGTTTCAAATTTTATCAAGAACTTTGTAAACTTGAATTGATTGCTGCACACTACCACAAATATATTTCTGTAACGTTTAGTTTGATCAGACTTCTTCAGAAAAACATAATTCAATTATGAATACTCGATTCATGAAAACTTTTGAATCATATAGAATAGTTGTCTTTACTGGCTATATACTTTCAATATACGCATACATATCTACAAGGTCAAAAAGAATAGAAGGATTCAAGCAGTTGGTCTCACAGAAATTCAATAGATTTGGTAGCATGTGTGAATTTGGTTCAAAAAAATTAAAATAGTGAAAATAAAATGCATAGATCAAGAATTAAAAAAAAATCCAATTTTAAACTTCATTCATTTTTGTAACTTGAATCGCAATGAACTGGGTGATTCATAATGCAGTTTTTGAAAAAAAAAATATCCAACAGACCTTTTCCCTATTACTGTAATAATATGTGTAATAATATAATCACTCACAAATAATATAACACCATTCTGGCCTGTTAAGAATCAACATCCTCTTGATAGAAGCGTCAGGAAGATCTTCCTCTTCTTCTTCCTCTATCTCTGTCTCACCATCCTGAAAATGATAGATGAACAAATTAGAGATAGACTGAAAATGCACCAAAATTGTTCAGAATAAGAAACTATGATTTTCTCTTTTATTTTATAAAATCAATGACAGTAATTGCAAAAATTTAATAATATATTATTTTGAATACATTCTGGAACAATATTTTCAAATATTGAATATGTTTTACATTCGAGCATGTTCAACAGATTTTTGCACAAATCAATGTAAAATTATAAAAAATGAACTAGTTGTTGTAAAAAGGTTGAAATATAATCATAGTTTCATTGGATTTTCCATTTTTACAGGCAGATAGAATTCAGTTCAGTGAAGTTTTCGGCTCGATCATATTATTAAATGCTTCAAGTGATAAGGTTAAAGGTTAAATACATAGAAATTTTTAGCGCTACAAACTACAATATCATCAAACCTCATAAACATCATGATCAGGATGAGATGAAGCAGACGACATTGAAGACATTCGTCGTCTCAATTTTCTGGCAGATTTGACGCTTACTTGAGTGTGAAGTGTACGATGAGCTGAAAAAAATACAAAATATAATGAAACTGAATTTTTATATATTGATGAGACAAGATTGCACGGTGAAACCACTATTCACTGTTAACTTGGCCATGTACAATCACCTGCTAAATTCACATTTTTAATCCAAAAGTTTGGCTGAAATAAGCAGCAAACAATACAAGCCCAAACATTTAAAACAAGTTACTTGTGAATGGCCGGCAAAAGCTAGTAACAAGACATGTTCAAGTCATTTTAACGACTTTCTGCTTTATCCCTATTATTACATTCACATTTTGGCACTCCAGAAGTATGTGCACCAAGATGGCGCACAACTTGATAACCCTAACCTGGTACACATATTCAGGTTGTGCGCCCTCTTGGTGCACATACTTCGGGAGCACCAACATTTCTTTGATAATTATTTTAATAAAAACAAAATGAAGCTATACTCTGATTTTTATGGTAGAAGATAAGTGTTTTTTTATTACATTGCATCTGCCATTTTGATAACTTCGATATAGCATTTTGTGAGGCCTTTTTTATATATTCTCTTTTACAAGACCTTGCCAGTTCCTATTTCAAAATTTCCTAGAAAATTATTAACGCACCTCCATCTTCTGGTATAGGAGATATTGCATTTTTATCTGTATTGACGGTTTGCATGTTAATGAGATTTGCGTAAACTCCCTCGTCAATTTGCATCAACTCGGCGTGTGTTCCAACCTCAACAATTTCACCTCCATCGAAGACAACAATTTTATCAGCATTTCGAATCGTTGCCAAGCGATGAGCGATTACAATGGTAGTACGTCCTGTTCATTAAATAAAAAAGAAAGGAGATTATTGAAAAAAATTTAACAACTGTTTTTAAATGCGGAGGGTAGGTACTAGGATATTGTGTAGTGAGCTGCAGGTCTTTTTCTTCTTTTTACTTCCTACTTTGGATCCATATATGGCCGTTGTCAAACAAGAATGCATGAATGAGATTGAAGCAATAAATACGAAAAACTAAATTTTTTGCGTTACTGGGGGTCACTGTTCCAATGATAGACAATTTTTCTTCAATATGAAAATCACTCCATAAATATTATAACATAAATTCAGTTCCAAAAAATTTGGTTCAATAAGGCATAGTTTCACTTGCTGGTTCCGTACAGATGATAGTTTTTGTAGATTTGACCAATAAGTATAAAGTAACTTTATGAGGGTGTTAGTGATATATACTCAAGGCAAATTATAACAAAACTGTTACCTGCAGCTGCTTTATCCAGCGCAACTTGTACTATGGATTCACTTTCAGTGTCCAAAGCTGATGTAGCCTCATCTAGTAACATTACTTTTGGATCCCGAACTATCGCTCGAGCAATTGCTATTCTTTGTTTTTGTCCTCCACTCATTTGACCACCACTTTCACCAACTAAAGTGTCGAATCTCTAAAAACAAATTTCAAGTTTTATTAACCTTTCTTTTTCGACATTCCTTAGCGACTTCTGACAACCCTAACAGAAATTAATACTCTTTGTTGAAATGTGCGAGAAACTTCAGGTATCATTGGAAAGCTCATTCCATGGTGTGGATAAGAGAGGAATTCAAAGATATTTTAAGAAAAAATTGAGCGCTGTAGTAAACACATGTGACTGACACTGCAATGACTAGAATGATAAAGCATAGCCAATGCACCCAAAGAGTGAAATATCAATAGGGTTCTGGTATGATGAGAGGTTGTTGAAAACAATTTAAAAAAATTCAACACCTGTAGTTTTCTTTAACAATAACTTAATAGAATTATTAATAGATTTTTGTTTTGCATTGATGATGACAGTTAGTCAGTTAACTAAAGGAAAGAATTCAAATATGCCCAAAACATCCTAGAGGTATTAAAATTTTGTATGACGCTTATTCATAATTTTACTCGGACAAGGTCCTGCACAAACAGTCACTGACATCTAACGATATGTGAGAAGCTACCGGTAATATTTCTGGTAGGACTGGAATATTGCGTTTGACTACCCAATTTATTATATTCTGCCTACACAAATAAGTTATATGCTTTGAATGCTAGGCCATATAACAAAAAAATAGAGAACACCCAGATATGTAACATGTTCAACACATAAAAATTCAAAGCTAGATTTCAGAATGTAACTGTAAATTCTAATGTAATTCAACTACATGTGAATGCTCCATTATCAAACTTTCTACTTAATAGCTTTACATTAGCACACGAAACTAGTTTTTCAACAAATATTACAGAAGATATATTCGAACCTTAGGTAATGAGTTGATAAAGTCCAATGCATTAGCTTGTCTGGCAGCTCTTATAATTTCAGCTTGTGTGACGCCTTCTCTTCCCCATCTTATATTTTCAGCAATAGTTGTATTGAATAATACAGGCTCTTGTGCCACAACTCCTATCTTGTCTCTCAACCATTTTACATTTATATGACGAACATTAACACCTTCGATCTCAACTGATCCCAACTGAAAAAGAGAATATTACCGAGAGTTGGAATGGGGTGACTTTGATCAATAGGATAGAATTTTCATATTTATCTTGACGAAAAGGTGGCTGATAAAATGGCTAATTAAACAGCGAACCGCAGTCTCTTATTCAGTTACCAGTCTGTGTTGACCCTGGAATAGGTAACAATTTCTTACAGATGCTTCAACAGGTGTTGTGCACTAGGACTATAAAATTTCTCGATAAATGTTCAAATGCTATTCTATGACAAAGGGAAAATTCTGGGATTTAATGAGAAATTAATAATATTTTCGATGATATATTCAGTTCGCATTTGATTGCTGTGAACCGATTAATTGATTCTCAGTAACTTTTAATCAAATAGTTATACCAAAATTATTTAATAAGTAGGGATAATAAAATATCCTACCGCAACATCATAAAATCTTTGAATCAAACTGACACATGTACTTTTTCCACAACCGCTTTGACCAACCAAAGCTACAGTTTGGCCCTTCTCAACGGTGAAACTTATGCCCTTCAAAACCTGAAAATAAAAATAGTTCTCATCCTGGCTTGATTTTAGAAGAAAACTATAACTTGGAACATTTGGTTGCCAATTTTTCCCTATAAATTCATCTCTCACTATGTATAAATTCTGTTTCCAAATTTGTTCAATCTATTTTAAAGAATCCATTAACTAGTGATAAGCGCAACCCTCACTCTTTCGCACTGTCCCATTCATTATATTGAGTCCAAAAATATGTCTTATGATACAGATACAGAGTAATGTTTCCTTCACAAAAACAGTATAATTCCTCTTCATTCAGCAAACGCTCCATTCAGTAAATCGAATATGCATATGTTGGAACTTTTAGTAAATATAGAAAAGCGAAAAAATTGTTGAAATAATAATGAAAGTATTTAAGTGAAATACATTCCATACCTCGACTTCGGGTCTTGAAGGATAACAAAATCTGACATTTTTAAATGTGATTTCACCATCTTTGATATCAGGTTTCAGTCCTTCACTGGAAAATATATCTATCGGAGGAACTCGGTCAACAACTTCGAATACTTTATATGCAGCTGCCTTTGCAGATGAAAAATATTCCATGTTGCTTCCAATCTTAATAATAAGAATCATAAGAAGATAATTGTGAAACTCAAAACTGGGTGATATCCAAATTAAGAATAAGCTTATCCAGAAAATAAGGACAACCGGGGACCACGAGCAGTTAGTGAGGTGGCGACAATGCTAGGCGTAACTGATTTTACTTTAGCCTTGACTCCTTTTCCTTTAAAAAAAAAACCTGTTCTTCTTCTGATATCATTTCTGCTAGCGCTGCCCATTCAATTTAAGTATCGCAGTAAGGGAATTTAATTTAATATTATAATGACTATATAATAATCCACTATTCTGATCATAAATCAAAATTTCCAAATATGGAATATTGAATATATTATAAATTGGTTCATGTTTGACAAAATATTATCTGAAATCATTCTATTTTGACAGAAATTGAACAATATTGGACCATACGCTCTATTATTAAAATGCATAACATAAAAATACTAACAGTGCCAAGAGCAAATGCAGCCATGAGAATGTTGAAAAACACAACGACCATATCACCAGCATTTAGATCTTCATTGGGGTCCAGAATGAGTACGATTCCATACCAAAACGATATGGCGTACATTGAAAACATGGAAAAATAGAGAAATCCAAGACTTAGGCCTGTTACAAAACCTTTTTTGATTCCCATAACTTTGGCCTCCTTTAGCTTTGATGAATACCTAACATAATAAACAAAAAATGCTATTTAAAAATTTAACTAAAGCAATTTCCTTGGTAGGAATTTTAACTTCTGATGAAGAGTTTTAAACTAGGTAAATGGAAGAATGTATTGAAAAAGGTTAGAAACCACTATATTACCGGCAGGTATGGCCAAAACCAGATATTTCACTATTTCGAATACATTCCGACAAAAAAAATTCGAATATGGAATATTGAATACATTCAAGATTGGGGGCAAGTTCATGGGAAAAAATACATAAATCATTATAATCTTTATTTTGATCACATCTATAATGACATAAATATAAAGGTTATTGTTTTCTCTGTATCATTGTTACTAGTTGAGGTATTGTATGTTTGGATCCGCTTGTCTGACGCTCAAAATCTCTAATTTTTTTAATGAGAATTTCTTATTAAAAATTATTTCTTAATTCAAACATTTACTATATTGAATATAATGAATTTCGAATGAATTCAATATTCGATTCGTTTTGAACATTCTTGATACCCGATATCCTAATAATCAGATTACAGCGAATTGCATTTCGCCAAAAGTTTTATCAAGTTTCATATAATAATAATGAGAATAAAATTGTCTTCTCCAAGTGGGTTACTAAATATTCTTCAAGAATCATTGACCACTACTATATCTATAAGTAACTTACCTCTCCTGGCATTCTTCTTGAATTCCAAAAGCAACTACAGTACGAATAGCGGATATTGTTTCCTCTGCAACTGAACCTGCCCCGGCGTATGCATCTAATTCTTTTGCAGTATACTTGACTGTCAACTAAAGAAGCAAAAATAAAAATGAGAAAATAAGATTTGTTAAAAATCATTTGTTGGCCTTATGTTGAAAAGCCTTGGAGATTGGTATAAATTTAGTTTTCGAATCTTAACATTTTTTGGGTTCTAATATCCAGTTTAATTTTCATTAATTTAAATTATTTTGAAAATTCTTGCGTCATCTATCACAATGCAAAAATCATTGAAATTACATTGAAATAGGATTTTTTTAATGACTAGACTGAAATAAACTAAAACCAATGCAAATTTCCCTATTGTATTATATATTTGAATAACTTTTGCCCCACAAATAGGACATTGGCTTATCCGTAATATATTGTCTTACACTCTAACAGTCTTTGTACACAAACTTAAGTTAGCAAGCTTGGTAATAGAAAAATCTATCGAATCAATCAATCATCTGAACAATTTTTAAAAGATTATCCAAATATTTCTTATGTTGACTAAGAATGTCTAAACAAACTAGTTTCTACAGAGTCTACAGACACACATAATTGAAGGCGTTTGGAAAATGTTTTGTGACAACTGGAACAATTTTTTTTTTTTTTTAATTTGTTTTCCTCAACTAAAAAAGATTTATTAAAAATTGTACTCGATTATTAAAAAGTAAATTTAGACATGAATAATGAAATGCAATTCATTTCGATAATTTCTGGTATTAATTTTGTAGATAGTATTTCAATACTATGCAATTGAGATAGCAGCGCGAACAGGATATAACTTATTCTGTGTGGCCAATGATTCACTCGAAAATGTGAAGAGGCCAATTTATGAATAATTAGGCGCTTAACTTTTGCTAATCAGTTTTGTTAAGTTTCGTTAAATATTTTGATTGTGCTATGGTTTATCTTTCCACTGGAATCACTCTTTCTAAATATGAGAAAAATGAGTGCGAAAGACTCATATATGTTCAAATGAATACAAGCTGCATAATAGATGGCCAAAATGTTAAAAGGAAAAATAAAATTAAAATATTTCAATTTTATAATTTAATTGTAAACAAGTGAACATTATTTTCAATTTAACTTACACGAAAGACCAAAGCAGTCCATATAACTATAAGAGGAGCAACTGCCAATGTTGCAAGTGAGAGTTTCCATGAATGCAGGAAAGCGATGGTGGTACCAGCTCCTATCATAGCTAAATTTTGAATAGAAATTGACAATTTATCGGCCATTCCATCATAAATCTTCTTTATGTCACTAAAAAGCACAAGACAATCTTGAATTAAAATATCACATTAACGTAACATAAAGAGATCAGAAGTAGGAGTGAAACGCATTAGTGCGCCGTGACAAGTTGATAGGTGCGCCGCGAAAATTTTATATATTGTATTTATTATAAATGTTTTTTTGTTTCTTATTTTAAATGCTGTGTATATAAATCAATAAATTTATTTTCCGTTTCCATGTCGATTACTTCCTGTTATGAGTGTCTGCCTCTATTGTTACATAACAATAAAGGTAAAAACAACATGGTGCAATTTTGCGAGCTGCAGTTCATATATCTACTCAACAGAGTTTAGCGAATATGGGTGATTTTTCCAGCAATTTTTGAAGGAAAATCGAGCAGAGATGAGGAAGAAGAGTTGACCTTTGCCTTTTTTCCTTATTATTGACTTTATAATGCATAAAGTACACATTAGCAATAAGCGATAACAAAATTGAGTTTATTTGAAAAGCTGCATTTTTTTGTGTAAGTGCGCCGTGAGTTTTTTTCCGTGATAATTTGGCGCCTCATGAACAAAAAGTTTGGGAACCGCTGTTCTAGATAATTCAGTAATATTTTTTCATTTTTTAACTAGTAAAAATTATTCAAAGTGAAACTTTTTCATAAATTTGACTGTAAAAACGTTTGCTTTGTATAATGAATTTCAATAAAATGGTTAAGTTAAACCAATACCAATAAATATTCATAATCTTTACAATAACACGACAATAGAACTTATTCCTTTCGTTCAACTGATATAGCCAAGTGTAATGGTCCAAATCGCAATTTGAATGGCCTCGCCCGTAGAGGGTATTTTCTCCCAACTGATATAGTCAAGTGCAATGACCCAAATCTCAATTTGAATGGCATCGCCCGCAGAGGGTATATAGGGCTGCCTTGTTTTATTATCAATGGGATCAAATGTCTATAGCTTATTAAATGAAAAATGATAATAAATTTGCCAAGAGATATAAAAAAAACTAATACTTCACTTAAAACTTACTCTGATAGTCTAGAATTGATTTCTCCAGAAGAATTCAAATCATGATAACCAATGTCTTGTCGCAGAACAGATCTCACATATTCAACTCTGAGTTTATTTGTTTGTCTAATGAAAATATATTTTCAATTTACTGATACAAAATTGAAATAATCAGCAAGATATTAGACTCAAAATCATTGTAGGCCGATATGCAAAAATGGACATTTCCATTGATAAAGTGGTAACTTAAATTATTTAATTCTAAAATGACTTTATAGCAATTAAAATTGTCATATGACCCCATATTTACATATTTCCCTTACTGCATCATCATTACGTGAGGAGTTACTATTTTTGAATACCTTGAAATCTATTATATTATCTATTATGCATTTCCTATCCAATTTGTAATCCTTTGGGTAAGTAAGGTGGGGTGGGGTAAAGGGATTTAAACTTAAAATGGGTAGGCCATCGGGCTCAAAAGTATTCAGAATTTTTGTGCCTTAACAGTATTTAAAATTTCTACCTAGATGCTTGAAAGCAGAATGTTCCAACTTGCAATGAAGCACAAACAAAAACACCAGCTCCTATGTACGCGAGATAAACAATTGAAGCAACAGCATTTCCTTCCAAATCTTCTGCTTTTGCTGCATCTTTATCAAATTGCCTGTGATATTCATAATCTATGTTAAACATTATTCACACATTCTGTAATAGTATGGTCGTATAGGTTAGAGTATGATGAGTGATAAATATACACAACATACAAAATGATATATACATCAACGTCAGATTATTACGGCATATTTCATATAAATATATAAGGATATTTGCTCAAAGTAAGGTCACAAGAATTCACTCAGAAATTAAAGAAAATCATTCCAGAGCGAAGCTACGGGTGATCCCTGAAATGCAGAAATCTACTAACACCATGAGAAATAGTAGTGTGAAATTGTGTGTCAGTAAATAGCAATTTCAAAATGAAACAGCTAGGTAACAGCTGATAGTGAATTCAACTGAATTAAACTTTAGGTACAGACCTTTTGTTGTCTGTTAGGTACAATAATATTGTATGCCAGTATATAAACAAATCAAATTCAGTTGTCACTTATCTTCAAAGAGATGGACAATCCAATAGAATGAGAGATTGAATAACATATGAAAACTATTTTGAAGTATGCTATATTTCAGCTTCCATAAGCTTCAGCTTAGTTCCAAACCTTAATTACATAAAACAATATCAACTCACGTTTCAGTACCATTATAGAGTCCCATATTTATACACATAGTGTAGTTGAAGTGACATGTCTGAAACTTGCCATATTCTGTGAGAGAATTTGTAATTGTTCCGAAGAATATATTCAATAAAGGAAGCCCAGTGCCATGAACTATGGATGTGATTGTGCCAAGAATTATCATAAAAACGTCCAAACAGTCGGCATAACGATACTGTAAAATAAAATGAGGATTGGGTTATATATGTAATTAGGTTTACAATTATTCAGTATTCTCCTTTGACACAAAACAGACAATTCTAAAACTGATTCAACCCAAGAATTGAAGCTGATGGCCAACAGATTAAGAAATGGTTGCAAATTTTTCCATTAGCCTAGTTATACATTTTCCCGCTAAATGCAAATACGCTATACTAAAGTCAAAAATTAAAGAAATAGCATGGGCAAAAGAGATGTTATCGGTAATAAAGCTCAGATAAATGTATAAATATAAAATTATGTATAAATTGCTATGACAACACTAGCTTAGAAATGAAATCGCAAACTCTAGTGAGATTAAAGAACAACAAAAATATCAACATTTTCCAATTGTAAGGGCTTTATTATATTCAATAGCATAACACTAATAATAATGTCAGGTTACTAAATGGGTCAATAAATGTAAAATCGCGTCTTTATGAAAGACGAAGAATATGAGCAAAAATTGTTAAATTTTGAAGCTCGGAATTTTCCAGACGGAAATTTCATTAAGCATGAACACAGTAGGCATTGCAGAAACATTTGACAGCGTATGTATGGCTATTTATTCTGACCAATTCATGAATTCCCGAAAGCAGATTGAAGGATCAAATCGGATCAGACAACATAAATACACATTCGAATAGAGTCAAATGTATATACGAAAACTATATGCCATTCATCATGACTTGGTAACGGTTTGTATTAGTAAAAAATATATTACCAGTCTGTAGTAAGGAACAGACTTGACAGATTCTTTTTCTTTCTGTGAAGTACTTCTACTTGAGGCTGGATCCCTAACTTCAACATCGATTGTGTCATCAATACTGAGAAAAAATTATGAAAGAAATGTTTTTTTTCATATTTAACAAAGTGGCGAGCGTATTCTTTCTGTCCTAAGGCTTAGCCTGATGAGCCACACCGTTGCACCACATTAACATATATCGAAGACTATGACAAATTCTAATTAACATGCTAGTGCTGAAGTGTGAAATGACAGAGATGTTGGTAATGCTGTAACTACAGACTGACACAGTACAGAATGCTATGTTGGGATTAGAAATTGATAGAAAAGGGAAAAACTGAATCAAGCACTTTCTGACTTTACCATTAAGTTGACAAGTTATAACTATCGCTATGGCTGTACACCCAGATGTCAACAGCTTGTTGAACATTCATTGTATAAAAAGTTAATCAAATAATACCGTTCTGCTGTACTCTACATTCTGACACTATACAGTTATAACTGTATTTGTGTATGCAGTGTTATGGCTGTATGGTATGATGTTGATAAAGCATTTAGGCATTTAAGAGGTCTAAAAATCTGACTACGAACGCAGGAATACCTGGACTGAGGCTAAACGACTAAGAGTATAAACATAATGAAGGCATAACTAATTAGCAGTCAGATGCTAGTAACAACTTTTAATGTTAAATACACAACGAAAACTATCATAAAAGTAAATCTTACTAGTCTCCGTCGTCAATCAACCTTCGATTTTCCATCGTCAAGTATCCAGATAACTTGAAGATCCAGCAATGCAGGCGTGCCAAAATTCACTTGTTAGTAATACCGTGTGAATAACACGTGCGTGCAGACGCCTGGACGCGATGAACAACAATTCCGATGTTATTTACATATCCGTTTATTCACGAAAACCAGCAAGCCAATGCGGCGGCATTCGTACATTGCAACACACTGGCGCAACTGCTCAACCGGTAATCGTTCAAAACATTGGTGCAATCGCGCAATGCTTTTCTCCAATTATTCACTTCCGCAGCAATACCGAGTAAACGAGTTACTGTGTAAATTCAAATGCCGGTTTATCTTATGTCATTGATTTTTGTATTGTCTCTGTTAGATGAACCGACCGAACAAATTCACCTAAAATACATAATTTATATTAATTCTAATTATACATATTTTTTTGAAATGAAATCATATTTAGCAAAACACTTGCGCAACTGCTCAACCGGCAGTCGTTCAGTGGTGCAATCGCGCAATGCTTTTCTCCAATTACTCACTTCCGCAGAAATATCGAGTAGACGAGGTACTGTGTAAATTCAAATGCCGGTTTATCTTATGCCATTGATCTATTGTATTGTCTTTGTTGGATGAACCGACCAAACAAATTCACCTAATATACATAATTTATATTATTTCTAATTATACATACGGTATATTTTGTTTGCTATGAAATCATATTTATTTCACTGTATTGATCGTAGATGTTGAAAATTAAAAGAAATGTAAGGCAATAGTACAAGTGATGTATATAAATTATATTAATTCTAAATGTACGGACATAATTATTATGAAATCAAATCATATTTACTTCACCATATGGATAGTACATGTTGAAATTAAAAGAAATGTAGCCAATTGTACAAGTGACGTATATAAAATATATATATTGATTCTCAATGTACGTATTATGAAAAGAAACCATATTTATTTCACCATATGGAATCCCAACATTTACTATCCATAGTATGGATAGTAAATGATGGAAACGAAGGAAAAATGTTAGCATATAATATGGTGTCGCGATGAAGTGTTGTCAGGACAACAGTGTACGAAATGAACGGAGACTCTTGTCCCCCTTGTGCCACGTGTCTCACTTACTCCACGTGACCTACTTGTCCCAAGGTTATAATACCCCGATATTTCAAAAAGCCGATATCACCGACATTCCGATGCTGATATCTCGATAATATTTAATTATCATCTTGATTGTAAATCGCTTTGCAACCTAGTAAGTATGCAAATATGCGCCTCTGCACTTCCATTAGGTTATGGTAGTTTCTGCAGTGTTCTATGCTCGTCCAGAAATTAATAAAATATTCAAAATGCAAGATGAATTTTTTGGCATAACTGCACTCAACTGAATTTTGTATTCATTAAAGTAGAAACATTTCTGACATGGCAGACTGGCTGTCTTCTTTACATATTAAAGTAATGCGAATTATGGATTTTGAGCACTGAATATACACCAGCACCCAATATACACCAGCAATTGTCAGATGCTTGGTGTTAGATGCTTGATAAGAGGTGAGCCACAGGGTAATCAGATAGAATAAACCAGTTGCGCCGAACTGCCAACCAGGGTATAGCATTCTTGACGGCCCGTAAAAAATTGTTATTCGTTTCTTTTTCTGTCAAGGTAACCTTGTTGTATTTGAATGAACCTCGGGAAGTAACACCTTAGCGTTAAAGGATTCCGTCCCGTTCAAATGAAAGTAACTCCTTGCATTTCGTAATATTTCGATTGTTTCTCGTGTAGGGCCTTGTTCGTATCGAAAGGCGTGACAAAGCGTCGTATGAGAAAAAATGCCGTATACCTAGATAAAGGGTGAAAGTCGTGATTTGCCACGGTTGTATCTGAATCACGTATCCTACTTCTCAAATGGTACAACTGCTAAACATGTGACGTCTGTTAATTCCATATATTTATGTCCCGGTTCCATTAAACGCTTGATGATCATGTGTCGGATCAACACTAATCAAGAGACCGAAAATAAAAACGATTCGTGTTTCTTCTGTGTAACATGTTATCATTGTAACGAAATTTGGTTGGACCAGAATTGTAATGCATTTGGATCGGATTCGAAAAGGTTTTTGCTCTGAAATCGAAACGTAATGCTGGTATTTTTATGCATTCTTCATTGGGTTATTAGGTAATTTTGATAATATTTGAATCCTATTTAACCGAAGTATAATTTTTTGAATAAGTATCCGGTGCTATCCGGTGCTAATAGTATATCAACTCAGTATATTAACATAAAATTTATTATATATATATATACCTTTATGTCTCCTTTCGATGCTTTCTTCTTCTTTTCTTGATTTTCTCTAAAACATTAAATACAAGTACGGTATTACTCAAATTTTACTGCCGTGTTTCCCCGAAAATAAGACTGGGTCTTATTTCAATTTTCTTCCGAAAAATAACAACACAAGGGCTTATTTTCGGGGAATTTCTTATATTTTCATTTATATATCAAAAAGAAAATTACAAAGTACAGAAATACGAGATTTTCAAATATACAGAATATGAAAACCGATATCCATTTACTTATAAATAACAGGTTTTATTCAAAATAACTGCAAACTATAGATTATATCAATCATCTAAAACGTGTAGAATAGGTTTCCTGCCATCGACTAGGCTTATATTAAAATCATTTTTAAAATTCAGGCTGGGTCTTATTTTCGGGGGAACACGGTAAGCTTTTCCTAGACTCTACTAGAGCAACGGTGCACAACCTGCGGCCGTCGTGAAAAAATAATGCGGCCGTCCACATCCAAAATCATATAGACAAAACAAAAAAAGTTCAAAATATAGAATTTGGCGGCTATGCTTTCAAAACTTTTATAAAATAAATTCATTAAAATATTTGACATTTTATTATACTTTTGGGGACAAGAAAATGGGGGCGACCGCCTCTCCCCCTTCCCCGACTTTCGATTTTTTTTAAATTGTACAACCTTAATCCAACTTGTTGCAATATATCTGCTCATGAATTGGGCCAACGAAAAGAAAAATCCGTTTAAAATGCGAATACACTTCATAATTGGGCAGGCTGCACCTCGCATAGGTCAATTACGTGGTTATGACGTCATAACAGCCAAAAGATTTCGCGCGTCTTCGGCACGCTCATCAATCCCCTGGAGGCCGTATTGAATACAAACAAATGCAATGTGGCCGCCAATAGCAAAAAGGTTGTGCACCACTGATATAGAGCAACAAATCATAACTGAGAACGGTTGCAAGCCTTTTCGCTTCGAGACTTCGGACGAACCCGAGCATAATCTTGCAAACTGGGTAGATTGCGATTAATTCTATGCAAGTCACTGCGCTTTATGTAAAAAGGAGTCCAGAACACCTCTGGTGATGAGCGTACATTTTGTTTTCGTGTTGATGGAGCAGTGTCTGTTCTCATATTCCTGACTTTTTCCTGTTATAAAAGTATGATAAAATTTCCTTCTAGCATTCATTTTTCAATCATTTATGCAGGGAGATAATATAGATTGACTACATGAAATGATACGCATTGTTCATGAAGCCCACTTGGGATCAATATCGATATAATAATCATTTATACACCAAAATAAATTTAATTCAAAGAAAACAGGAGACTTTACATTTTAATGGCTACAATTTTTAATGAGAATTCAGCGTTTACAAATGAAGACGGTGATGGTAAGCATCCTGAATCGACTGGCTTTTTCAAGTGCTTGCACCGTCTTGCGACTAACTATACGTATTGATCTAAACACTTCCCCGTCAGCAGTTTAAATCTCATCTATATGACGTATCTAACTTTTGAAGGCATCACTAAACTTTTGCAGGCTAGTATTAATTTTTAAAGTAAAAATATATTTCAATTACAAACCAATTAAACGCACCTGAAGGTTGATGTTACTTACAATGGTTTGAGCGTGTTAATCTGAATTCAAAGAATGCATATATTTTGCTTAAACTCATGTTGTAATACAAATATATATATAATGTATGGCTGAAAACTGACAATATCCCCGGCTTTCCAAAAATTGTTCCAAAAAAAGATTAATTTTGTAAATATCGCCTTGTTTAATGTATAGGTGTCCAGAAAGCAACAGGTGGAAAATGTCTTATTGCAGGCTCCTTCCGTTTGGAAGGTGCCGTCAAAGGTCCTCAGAGCTTCGCTTTCCCCTTCACAACAAAAGTAACTCTTGTGGTACTTCTGAAGTATGCGCACCAAGATGTCGCATACCCTGTATCCTAACGTGATACACAACCTGAGTTCAGGTTGTGCGCCAATTTAGTGCGCATACTTCAGGAGGTCCACTCTTTTACTATGAAATATTAATTCTGTAAATACTCACGCTTGAAAAAAGATACAGTGACATGTTTTTCGAAATGTGTTTAATTTGAAGTATGAAATATACAACAATATATGAAAAAAAATGATAGAGTTTGCCAAACGTTTAAGATATTATTAATATTTAATTCAATGAGAATACGATTACTTATCCATGACCTTTGAAACAACCAATTCTTTTTGGTCCCCAACTGTACCAGGAATATTCTAAAAACAAAAGACATTTGTCAAATTTCAATTTTAATAGGAAGGCTATTTCAATGCATTTTTGATGACATAATATAGATTAATTCAAAATCCCTTAAAATCGTAAATGAATGAGTCTTTTCAACTGCCATAGTTGTAGACCAGCGTATTTGTTGTTTTGAAATTGAATCCAGAATATATATTGTAACTTACAAAATTACTACGCATCAGCCTGGCTATCAAAAAAAAAATTGAAATCATAAATGTCAATGTCTGGCGGGCAATGCTTGTGGAGAAATCTGACCCCATGATATTCTCAAACTATCAACAAATCAAAGGACCTTGAAATATTTTTAAGTGAGACCTAATTTGACATACCTTGTTACTGATTCCATTCGGCGCTTTTCTGCTTGTCCCGCGAATAAAATGTAATGAGTCCGATGATGCAAGACTCACCTGTAATGAATATTATTGGACACGTAGTGGACATAACGATCGTTTCAATATTATGTTGTTGGACACGTTTAGTGGCCATAACGATCGTTTCAATATTATGTTGTTGTTGTTGTTGTTCTTGTTCTTGTTCTTTGACACGTTTTTAAAAAATCGCTTTTCTCTTCGAATACTGGACCATTTGCTTTGAAATTTTCAGTGGTTAAAGATTAATTTCTTCGCTAGAAGGCTATTACTTTTATTTATTTCAAAATTTTGCGTGAATTCTATGAAATTTGATATTTCGTCTAAAATTTTGCTGTATTATTTTTTATCCATGGGAACACGGATTTTAGTCAGTGTCATGACTGGCTGTACGTTTTGATTCTGCAAAATT